CTAAAATCAATGGCTAAACTCCCATTGAGTTCAATAGAGTCATTTTAAAATGGCACTTGAAAGGATTTTGATCTACCAATAAGATGCAATATTTTCTCCAGAAAAATTTCAGAAAAATTTAGAGTATTTGAAAACTTTCCAGAGTCAGGGAGTGCAGGAATGTGTGTGTATAGATTATATATGTAACAGAGAAGGAGGTCATGCTGAAGATCTGGATCCTGATTTTGGGGTCAGGGTAGTCAGATCTGGGTTTTTATTTCAGACTTCTCTCTTATACTTTACCATAAATACATTGTACAAATTAAAGACAATGTGATAGAATATGGGGCATTTTGATTACAAGATTTTAAAAAAGCACTATATTAAATTTATACTGTAGCATATAGTAGCAATAGTCATGTGCTAAATTGCATTTATCATGTACTTTGATCTTACCTGCCCAATTCCTAATCCACCTTCACCAAGGCTTATTCTAACATTCCAAACTTCTGAGCAGCTTCAAAAAGTCACCAATGTTTACAAATCAGCTTGCAAGAGAAATACTTCATTTGCCACTTAAATGTAAAAATTTCCCTCCAAAATTACATTTTTCTGAGGAGCTGAACAAGAAATACTTAGTCCTGGACAGACAAGGGGAAAGTTTAAGGTCTGGTATCTTATGACCGTTCAGGAGTAGAAATGGGAAATCCCAAGCTTTCCTTGCTTGGAAGCCATGGAAGGTCCACAGATATTAGACTTTAAAGGAGTAACATTTTTATGCATGGAAAAGCTATTTTTATACAATTTTTAGAAGTTTTAAAAATGTATGAGTTATATATTGTCTCTTCCTCTCGGGTCTGTGCAGTTGGACACTAGGTAACCAAGGCAACTGACTTTACAGGCAGAGAGATGAAAAATAGTAAATAGACAGAAGACATTTGTGCAATAGTTTTTCTGTAAAATATGAGGTTGATACGGAACACATAATGGTGTGGTATAAAGGCTTTATGGGTACCAATTTGGCACGACCTATATAACTCTCTCATGGTTTTGACCACTATGAATAATGACATTCCAAACTCATGAGGCTATTGCCATTATGCCACATCACATCAGCATGCATTCTCTCGCTCTCAGTTCTGCTAACAAGGGTTAAGATAGCACTGAAGACATGGCAACTCGGCTTTTAAATGAGTGTGCAGCTCAGTTTCAACCATAGGCTCCTATAGCTGCTAATCTGAGCAGTTAAGAGCTGAGCTGCTGTGTATTCACAAATATTTTAACCTATGTTAGCTAACAAGGGTTAGCTAACACGAGTTAGCTTTTTTTTTTTTTTTGCACTGAAGGCATAGCCTATATTATTTTTGTATAACTTCTTTGCTGCTAGTGAAGCTTGTAATCTAGCAGTGAAATAGGGTTTAGACGAGACCTATGTGGTGCATAAATTTTGCTCTGCCTCTGTGCACATGGACAAATTTCACTGCACCTACTTACAACATTCTTATAACATATTTCCTCTTTACTAAGTGCCAATGAAAAATGACTGTTTTTTGTCCTCAGTGCAATCAAATCTACTCCCATTGCTTCTGATTTTAATTTTGAAAACAAGAACAGTTTATTTTCTCTTCCTACCCTTTAAAAATCACAGCAGTTTACACACATCCAAAAATTGTTTTAAAAAATTGTGAAATTCCAACTATTTTATGTTTAATGTTCACAATTTTGACCAGTTCTATAGTTGGTCAAAACACACAAGCATTTTCAATCCAATTTTTTTTTCAGAGTTTCTCATCAAAAATAGAATTTTGGACAAATAAAATCACCAAAATCTCAAAATTTGGAAGATGTTGACAGGGATGAATGGCCAATTATACACTATAAATGCCTGTATCACGCTTCCACTTGACCTGTTCTTTACCCACTGAACACTTCCTGTCCTTCACGTCTGCCTTTCTTCCCTTCCCTTTTTCCCCCCACTGGCAGCTCTTTCTTTGAAGCTGCATGCCCTCTTCCTTTGTCTAATTGCATAACAGTATGCCTGTCTACGAATCCAATAATCAGTTAAACAAACCAAAAAACCCAACAAGCTCACATATGGGGTCCCATTTTCAAACCTGTGTGCCTCAGATAGGTCCCAGTTCTGCAGTTAAGTACCCAAATACATATTTTAGGTGCCTAGGTACCAACTGGAGTACCCAAATGGAGATACTGTAAGCAAGGCTTAAAAACTGGATTTCTCTTGTAACGCACTGTAAAATCATAGAAATGTAGGGCTGGACAGAACCTTAAGAGGTTATCTAGTCCAGCCCTCTGCACTGGTGCAGGACCAGTAAACCTACACCATCACTGACATGTTTTTGTCCATCCTGTTCTTAAAATCCTCCACAGTGGGGGATTCCACAACCTTCCTTGGAAGCCTTTTCCACAGCTTAACTACCCTTATAATTAGAAAGTTTTCCTAATAGCTAACCTACATTTCCTTTGCTGCAGAATAAGCCCATTACTTCTTGTCCTACATCCAGCGGCCTTGGAGAATAATTGATCCCAGTCTTCTTTATAACAGCCCTTAAAAAGTTTGAAAACTGTTAGCAGGTCCCAGTCAGTTTCTTTTAACCTTTCCTCATAGGTGAGGTTTTTTTCTAAACCTATTATCATTTTTATTGCTCTTCTCTGGACTCTCTCCAATATGTTCACATCTTTCTTAAAGTGTGGTACCCCAAACCGGACAGAAAGTAATACCTTTAATTTGTTAAATATATATTAAACTCAAATAAGGGGAAATACTTTTAAAAAATATTAAAAAAATGGTTTTCAGGCTGAGACTTCAATCAGCCAAATTTCAGCTCAAAGGAAATTTCTATGCCCCAGTGATTAAAAAAAGCCTTTCCCCCCACGTGTTTATTAACACCTGACCACAATCCCTAACCATAGCAATGCCAAGTGGTACAGTATAATAGCAAAGGTTAGTAAAATACAAGATAGGAAAAGAATTTAAGATCAGAGGCAAAATTAAAGCCTTGAAGCTTTTTAGAGCTGAAGAATAAATTGAAAAGGTTCATGTTATAGTTCTAATTTAAGTCTCAAAAAAACCCCACTCCTGCCTGAAAATTCACTTCTGACCCTATTTTCTACATATAGGGGATTAAATTAGCACTGTTTTAAATGCCACATTAACTAGATATTTTGTGTACTGCACTGAGAATTCTGTAAAAAATATCAGTGGCAGAAAAGTAAACCTGTTCCTATCTTATAATATTTGGCATATTCTGTAGCCCTTTTCCCTCCTCTTCAGACAAATGAGTAGTGACATTGATTTTGGAGACACATTTAATAATGTGCCTTTGATATTCTGCAGAACCACCGAGTTAAAAATTAATATGGCCCCAAGCATTCATAAACTATGTTTCCTCCTACGCATGCTAGCAACAAAACTGTTTATCCTATTTTACTGTATAATCATTATGGTTTTGCACTTATATTCATTTTATCATGAATATCTTATGTAATGCCTCTATCCTCTGATGATAACTGGTGTTTGCCTTAGAAAATCCTGGGGAAATTCCAGAAGTCATAAATAGTAAAACTGGCCAAAAGTGACATGTTGAATAGAAGACTTTGCTTTTGTCTCTTAAAATATGGTCTACGGTTCAGGGCTTGTGTAGATATGAAAAGACAGTGTTGTGATCTCCAACATAATTTGTGATTCATTTATTTTGTTGATTTTATTGATTCTGCTGTGTACAGGGAGAATTTGTGCTATTACTCTCCCAGGGCTATGTTCTACTAATTTGTGACAATATCTACAATAACTACTTCCAGCTGTGTGTTCTTCCATACTTTGATCATGTTATTAAAAAGCTATCCCTTGTGTTGCACACCATGCTGGCATCATTAAAGAGTGTAGAAGAACACAAAGACTCCGAGAGTTAATAATAATACCAGCATGGTGCACATTTTTTTTAAAAGATAGGACCACTTTGACTGGACTAAATTAAGACCGAATACTTTCCAGGGGGGTTGATGGCAGTGCCTACTGCTTGTTTACAAGAGTTTCAATGCCCCTGTTAAGGTAAGATTGATTTTTCCCTTTCCTCCTGAATCCACTGCCATTAGCTGGAAGACAATATACTTCCTTCAGCTCAAAGTATGCATATGGCATAGAAGGCAAAGCTATCAAATGCATTTTGAAATGACTTTCACACATGGTCACTAGACTCTCATAGTCTCTGCTACTTTTGACTGAATTTAAACCAGAGGGAAATGTTCCGTCTCCATAGGGGATTAAACCAGGAGGGATAGGGGAGTCGTCCCTCCAAACATAGGTCCTTATTCTCCACTCCCTTGGACCTTGTGTGGTGATTTGCCTTTCTGCACAGCTGGTGTAAAACACACCCATCTGATTTTCATAGAATCATAGAATATCAGGGTTGGAAAGGACCTCAGGAGGTCATCTAGTCCAACCCCCTGCTCAAAGCAGGACCAATCCTCAACTAAATCATCCCAGCCAGGGCTTTGTCAAGCCTGACCTTAAAAACTTCTAAGGAAGGAGATTCCACCACCTCCCTAGGTAACGCATTCCAGTGTTTCACCATCCTCCTAGTGAAAAAGTTTTTCCTAATATCCAACCTAAACCTCCCCCACTGCAACTTGAGACTATTACTCCTTGTTCTGTCATCTGCTACGACTGAGAACAGTCTAGATCCATCCTCTTTGGAACCCCCTTTCAGGTAGTTGAAAGCAGCTATCAAATCCCCCCTCATTCTTCTCTTCCACAGACTAAACAATCCCAGTTCCCTCAGCCTCTCCTCATAAGTCATGTGTTCCAGACCCCTAATCATTTTTGTTGCCCTCCGCTGGATGTTTTCCAATTTTTTTTTGTAGCATTTCAAATCCACTTTGCACTGGGGTGAATGACTTCACAAATGTAAGGCACTCAAGAGGAACCAGGCTTTAATAGCAATTCAAATGGAAGACTGCAAACCCAGGGAATTCATATAATATCTTTTTTATTTCTCTCTCAGAGACAAGGTACTGGAGCAACAAATGGAAAAGACAAGACATCTGGTGAGAATGGTAAGCCTAGATTTTATTTCATTTTGGAGAATATCAAACCAAGTTGTTTTCTTGTATCAAAATGTTTCATTTACAATATTGACATACATCAGCCTTTCCCTTTGCATCACTTTGAAAACTTGTCATTGCTGTCTTCATATTTATGTTTTTAGCATTTCAGTGTGAGCACCAGAGCCCTGAATTTGAACTTACAGTAGTGTCAAATAGGAGTAACTCTACTGAAGTCAATGGGTTATATGGGTATAAACTGGTACAAGTGAAAACAGAATCAAGTACCAAAATATTTGGCATCATGGACAAGGAAATTAGTGGTAATTCAATATTATGGACTGGGTCATCAGTGTCTGCTATATGTCTGAGCAAGGTGGGTAAAGACAAGCCAGCTGTGCCAGGGCTGCTCGTATCAACAATAGTCTTTATGTGACTTTATTTTGGGGAGCATGTAATTGCGGGTTCTCATGCCCCTCTGGGGAGCTGGACACTGAAGAGGAGGCAAGAAGGGATGGGTTCTTGCCATTTGAATGCTGCTGTACAAGAGTTGACTCACTGCTGGCTTGCCCCCTTGTAGCAGGGCATTGCATAGTAAGCTTTCCTCATCTGTCACTTCCTGCCGACAGCCAGTCCAGCCCTGTGGCGGTCTTCCTTTTCTTGTGACTCAGGTCTCCAGGCAAGTCACTTATAGTCCCACCTTTCCCAGGATAACAGAGTCCAAGAAACAAAAATCCAGTGTTTTTACATCAGGTCTTTAGGTCCTCTCTGGTCTCCATGTTTCTTATACCCTGTTGTCTCAGGGCTTTCAAAAGTCCTTATCCCCTTGTATCAAGGGGCTCCATGCCACTTTTCTGTGTGACTGGCAGGTGAGCCTAGGCCCTCTTTCCTCTGGGTTCCAACCCAGAGACTCAGTAGTGAGCAGGCAAGGTCTATTCAGACACACCCCCTGATATCTGTATGGGCTTCTTCCAGAGGCAGATTTAAGGGACAGAGCCTGGTCAGCAAATATGCAGCATGTGGCCCAATGGTTACGTGACATCATGTCACATGACCTGAAGATGAGCTGTGTGTAGTTTTGAAAGCTTGTCTCTCTCACCAACAGAAGTTGGTCCAATAAAAGCTGTTATCTCACCCACCTTGCCACATCACTTTAGGCTTTTTTAAACATAAACAGTTTAAAAAAAACCCATAAAACAAATCACAGGCCTGAACAAAAGTGGTATCTCACCCAACTTGTGTTGGCTTACGTATTTCCAATTACTGGAACCTTGCACCCTGGCAATGCTTTTCCTTGGCAAATTGTACTATAATGCTGTTCAGCTCCAACCTTGTGTCTCGTCTTTCTCAATTGCAAGGAGAACAAGGTCAATAAGCCATGCCTGTGATAGTGTTGAACGCATGTAGTTTTTGACATGTCGTATTGTGCTCATTGCATGTTCAATACTGACCACTCCAGCTGGTGTAATGAGAGAGTCAATGCAACATTTCCATTACTGGTAAAACATCATCAAGAGAATTTGACACTATGATATTCAAGTAGCTCTGGACTCCAAGTGACAAACTGAACTCCCATCTCCTTTGTAAAATAATTCATAATCTCATGAACCAAGTCTAAAGAAAAATTAGTTTTCCCATGAGTTTAAGGACTTCCTCCTTTAACTCCTCTAAAGTTATATTTTGAAGTTGTCGGGGACGGAGAAAACCAAATGGAGTAGCTGTCAAATTCACCAACATCAAGATTTTAGTTCCCTGATCATATTACTTAAGACCTCAGACTATTTCCTTTGCTTCTAACAGAATTGTGCACAAATTCATCGTCTATGAGATATACATGTCTCTTCCTGTGGCTTGAATATTTTGCATTTTCAAAACACATTGTTTCCCACCTGTTCTGAGATTCTTTTATAATTTCCTTCAGATTTGCGTTTTCTGAGCTCATTCACTGTGCTTTCAAATGTCCAGAGGACGTGGAACTTGTCAATTTTCTTTGACTGAAGGATTCCAGAGGCTGCAGCCTTGATAACTAAGATCCTATGCCACCAAAACTGATTGAGATAAACAGCCAATCCATGAAGGACAAGTTCCATTTGCTCCATATATGTTCTCATTACTCCTGTGTTCAGTGACAATTTCATCTTCTAGGCATTCAGTTGTACTCTGAAAATTTACTATCATTACCTCAGTGGCTTTCATTTGAGCTGCCCATTCAGTCTTGCAGAGTGCCTTTTAGATGTAAAGGTCTCTGTGACGGGGTTCCCTCAACCCTCGTGGTGCCTCCTCCTGGCTGTCCTGGGGATTAGCTCTGCCAAGTGCTGTGCTCTCCTCAGCAATCTCTATATCCATCTTCTTCTCTCTGTCTGCACTCTCAGAGCAGCAGCTTCCGGTTTGTGGCTTGGCTCTCCGGCTAGGTCACTAATTTCCTCCCCTTCTGGGGAAATTGCAGTCCTTCCAGACCTGCTGTCCAGCTGACATGCTGTCCAGTTCAACGCCCTGTGCCACTACCGAGTGGCTGGTAGGAGAACCCAGACTCACCCTCTCCACTGGGTTCCAGCCCCGGGACCCTATAATATGAAGCCAAGGCCGGTACTGTCTTAGCCCTTGCTGCTGTTTCCCTGGTTTCTTCCTACACAACTGGCTCCCCATCCTTTTTGGGTTTGCCAGTGTGACATTACCGAGGGTACAATCTGGACTGCGGAATAGCTATGTCTTCTCAGTTCTCCAACCTTGGATGCGTTTTACACTGCTTTACTGGTGAACAGCCACTCTTGGCCAGTTAATACACATCCTCTAGCATGCAAAATCACTCCCAGATATGTTACATGAATGTTTTGCCAGCATTACCTACAGGGTGAGACCAGCAAAATCCCAGTCCCAGTCTTGTCCCCAAGAAATGTGTGTCTTGTACTGCCCAGCACACAACTGAACAATGCAAGCTCACATAAAGCCTGTCATTTCATCAATGCACCAGCCTTGTTACCCCAAATGGAGTTTCCCCCACACTGGTTAAGATAAAACAATAAGTTTATTAACTACAGAAAGATAGATTTTAAGTGATTACAAGTAATGATGCATAAAAGTCAGGACTGGTTACAAAAGAAATAAAAGAGTAAAATGCAAGCTAATACCTAACTTGACAAGCTAAGTGAACTTGAAAGCAAAAAGGCCTTGTTTCACCATATGTTTTACAGCAGTCTGTACTGGCTGAAAAGCCTTAGAGCCAGTTCAATGATGCTTTCTTTGTCTTTCAAGCATTGTGGCTGCCATGAGTAGAAATGAGGGGAGAGCAAGGTGAATTGGAGGCTACTGTCTCTCATTCTTATACCACTCTCCCTTCTTTGAGGATTACCTCCAGTTTGCGGTGCAGGCGACAAACAGGCTCTTGTGGACATGATGTCTGAACCATCCTTGTGATGGTATGTAGATTTCTTATTCACACCTTCCCCCATCAGAGAATGGCCGCATAAGCAAATGACAGTCTTTTAACACCTGGCTTGGTGTCAGTCTGTGCTTTGTTTCTATGAAACTGGTTTAGGCCTACTTTTCTTAAACTTGGAGCATGTCACAGCAATGATACATAATGGAATCTTATAACTTCACATACAGTGTTGATACACATTTTAGCAGGACAATAATGTTGAGCATGTTATGACTTTTCAAATGATACCTCACAAGGTATACTTAGTACAAAATGTATCATGGTCTTGTAAAAGTGGTGAACGTAATGATCTAGACTGTCACACAGCCCACTCTCCCTCCACTCAGGGAATGACTGCAGACTCCTTCCCTGCAGCTCCCCCCCCTTTGCCACTTGCAGCTCCTGGGCTTTATACAGGCCCTCCTGTTCCTGCCCAGTTGACTCTGCTTCTAATTAGTGGCCTTTTTGTAGCCTACATCTCTCCCCTACTTGCTGTTTAATTAGGCCTACCTAGCCTGATTTACCCTCTTAGGGTCAGTGTGGGGAATACACCCCATCACAGTCTCCTTCATTCTTCAGAAGCCTGTTCAATTTCATCTGCTGCATCAATGCTGTCAAGTTCTTCAAGGGTCTAAAATGAATCATCAAGTTCCTCTTCTCTTTGAAAAACTGCTCTCTTGAGCAAGAATTTGAAGATAAAAATTATTTTTAGATTTAAGCATTAGTTTTTCCCACTGACAGGAAGATTTTGCAAAATATTTATATATTTCCTGCAAAGTTGAAAAGACAACCTTCCAGTCCAAACTAGCCTTATCTTCATCAGCACGCACCAAAACTAGGTTAAAGTGATGTGGTGGGCAATGGATGTATGTTGCAGGGCTGGCTCTAGGCACCAGCAAACCAAACACAGGCTGGGGGTGGCACATTTCAAGGCGCAGCATTCCGGCCACCCTTTTTTTTTTCTTCTTCCTTGGGCAGTTGCACTCTCGGAGCTTGGGGCAGCAAAAAACCTAGAGCTGGGCTTGGTATGTTGCATACACTTTGTCTCCCTTTCCTGAAAGAAACTCTCTCATTTTTGTTTGGAATCCTCCACAAGCTCCGGTTCATTGTACTGGCCCCATCGTAACCCTATCCAGCCAGGTATTTGTAGTCTAATCCATACTTCCAGAATAAAACATTACTTAACTAGTCAAACAAGGATGCAGTACCTGTCTCGCTTACTGCCCCAAAGCTTAGAAAATGCTCTTTTATATCTACTTTTTTCCTTCGATATAAACAATACTAACAAAGTGAAGCTAAATGGCCATTTGATCAACATAGCTAATATCCAGGGTTGCATCTACAATGACAGTGAAAAACAGCTGATTTGCAGCTATTAAGTATGTGCCTCCTGGCTTTTGATGTTAAAAGAGTTAAGTTCATCAGTAATTGTTGTGTTCAAGTATTTGATTCTCTTGGCGTCACTAATATGTTGGGAAAAAAGTTGTATTACATCTGGGGAGTAAATACCACAATTATTACGCTCCAGCACTTCACTGTGGCTGTGGAAGGGGAGACCCAAAATAGCTAAAGCTTTGATTGTGTCAAGCAATATTTTTAGTACATACCATTTCCTGATATTTTCATATGCTTCTTTATCAAAACATGCATTGATACTATGACCCTTCATGAGCTGTAGAGCTATCACAGGTGACTGAGTATGTTGCCTGGTCCTCCATGAACAGACATTAACTTTAGTGTATTCTTCCAATAGTTAAAACCTGTTATCTAAGTTGATTTTTGAGTTTCTGGATCCTCGAACACTCGACACAGGGACAGTATGCAGAATCTGAAATAAGAAATTCTGTTCACTCCAGCATTTACAATCATTTTTAAACAAGTTGAACATGGTTTTCTGGAAAAATAAAGACCACAGTTTTTAAGCCTTGATCCATGTTTAATCATGCTAGCCACTTGATATGCAAATCTTCATGCATTGCATTTTTCATTCTGTAAAATGAAAAGGAAAATGGTGGGTTGTAGGAAAAAAAATTAAACTGTTCATTTGGCATATCACTGTTAGTGGGGTGTCAAGGACCAGTCCATATCAGCATACACAGTTGCTCAGTTGATAAAACTGATTCTTGAACGTGACTTTTATCAGACTTTTATCCTGTTTCATCAGGAAGATTGCTTTGACCTGATCACCTACAGGGTCTTTGGGTTTTTGTTTTAAGATCATCTGTGGGATCTTTTGCTTAGTTGGTTTGTGGCTTATCTTCAGGGTCTTCAGCTGTGCTGGTTTCAAGCAAAGTTTCTCTGGAAATATCATCAGCTACTACTACAGGTAAAATTTCAGTGGTACTGCACTAATAGTTTTCCTGACTTAATCATGACACAACAACAGATTCATGCTTGCTGAACTGAGATGCAGTTCTTGGCTTTCTACTTCAGACTGCAGGGGTTGATCAGGAAGTTTACAACATAATAGTTTCGGGGATCTCGGGAGGCAGTTTGCAACAACAAAATCTCTTTTTCTTTTCATTTTCTAAAACCAGACTTGTATTTGTGTTTGTTTTTCATTTCCAGATATCTTCCAGTATGAGAATAACTAAGTTGGAAGTATAGGCCTAAATAAAGTGTCTTTTTGTGCGTCTTAATTTAGCCTTCAGTTGTGGAGGTAATCTTAAAAAATGTTGATTTTTCTCTACAGACTCTCCCCAGGCCTTTTCTTTCAGCCTACCAGTCTCTCCATTCTCTAGTGCTACAAGCAGGACTGCAGAATTCTGTCTGTCTCTTCTTGCAGTCCCCTCCTACTCTGGGCTTCCTCTCTTTATAGTAACCACCCAGCTCCTCATCCAGCTAAGACTCCTATTTAATTGGGCCTGGTCCCCACTCCAGCTGCACTAATTGAATATCCAGCTCTCCTTACCCCTTTCAGTGCCAAAAAGGGATTTACACCCCATCACAAGCACAAAGCTGCTATAAATAGAGGTGGTTGGGAAATGTTTTTCTTTTTTTCCTGTGGAAAACTTGACTTTTCATAAAACAAAACAAACAAATAAACAAACAAAAACCCCACCAACCAAACAACCCCCTGAACGTTTATGGCTGAAAACTCAATTTTCTGCAGAAAGCAAAAATTTTGCTTATTTAAAACCCCAACCATCCATCAATAAACACTTTTGAAGATTTTTTTTAACCAAGCCTTGCTTTAATGCAGCTGAGAAATGGGGCCACTGTCAGCTTGTGGAAAATTCATGAACAGGAAAAGGACCAAACTTACCAAATAAATTGTTCATTTCAATTTCGTTGCCTAATCAAAAGAGCAACTGTTCCTGCAGCTCTGTGTAAGCTCAAAAGCGTGTCTCTTTCACCAACAGAAGTTGGTCCAATAAAAGATATTACCTCATCCACTTTGTGGACTAACTGAAGGAAGGAAGAATTGAAAAAAAGGTATGAACAAGCCTGTTCTCACAAGATTTCAAGCCCATTTTTCCCCAGTGTTGAGAGATTTGGATTGTTCAGATAAGGTTTGGATATGCCTGTCAATTTTGTTATTCTGAAGTGAACCTCTGCACCTCTTGAGATTAACTCATCCTGAGATGTTATTTCTGTTTTACTTTGCTATTAAGGATAGATGACTTTCCCATCAGTGTTGTTTATATAAAGTTATAGTGAAATGAAATCAGTACCCTAGGTTCCAAATATTCTAAAACTATGCAGTTAAACAAAAATTAAAGAAGAAAGAGAAATACATATTTTGCTAGGGTTTTTTAACACGTTGACTCATTAGGCACAGATTTTGTTTCATTGCCCAAGTTTGCACACACAGCAAAGTCATTCATGTCCTCAAGTTAACTAAAAGGACGTCAGAGAAAATATTTTAGTTATTGGTAAGGTTATTGGAGAGGTCTTTTTCTTTACTGTTTCAGCACATTGTGAACTGAGATTGTTTTCTTTGTGTTTCATCATGAATAAAACTGTCCAATCTCCTAAACTAATACAGACTCAGAGACTCAAATCCTGCTGTCCTTTGATTCAACAGGAATTTTGTCTGAATAAGGATTGCAGGGTTTGTTCAAAGGAAAATAAGATCTTTAGTTAAACGAGACATTTTTATGTGTGGTATTGACTATATATTATGTACAATGTAAGCAAATTTGGTGTCAGTTAGATTTTTTATGTAATGTAATGATAACAAAGAGTGTCCTGTCTATGAAACAAAGTTCAGGGGCTCCTGGGGAGATGAGTGAAGGTGCTTTGTGCCATCTCAACCCCACACACTTGCATGAGCGTCAGGGACAATCTGATTTCCCGTTTGGAATTTTAAACAAAACATGAGGCAGCAAATGTATGAAAAGGAAAGTTGGACCCCAACTTTAGATCTTGTTCCATGAACTATGTCTTGCAGGTACTCCTAGTTAATTAAGCAAATGGGAATTATTCCTTTGGAAGCTGTGTGTATATTGTACACGTACCTAGACACGCTATACAGCCTCCTTAATGTATTTTGGCTGGAAGTCTGGAAAATGTCAACATCCTAAGCATGTTTCCATTGCTGGTGCTGCCACCCAGTATCTCTGCTGATGCTCTCCCGAGTGTCGACATGATGCTTTCCATTTTAAAGGAAGAAACCCCTTCTCTTTATCGAAGGCTGCCCAGCTGCGGAGTCGTGCTAAGAAAACAGCTCCAAAAGTGGCATTTAAACACCAGTCATTGCCAACGTTCCCGCTATTTTTTCCCATGCATGTGCGGAATGAATTTTGATATGTGCACTAATATGGAGGTGATGTGTGGTGGGGTTGGGGCCGAGGGGTTCAGGAGGTGACTCAGCACTGGGGCAGAGGGTTGGAGTGTTGGAGGGGGCTCTGGCTGGGGGTGCGGGCTCTGGGGTGGGGCTGGGGATGAGGAGTTTGGGGTGCAGGCAGGCTGCCCTGGTGCTGGGGCCAGAGGACTCCCCCCAGCCCTCTCTCTGCCGGCAGCAGCTCCGGGGAAGAGGTTCTTCTTCTGGGCAGCAGGAGCTCTGGGGCCAGGGGAGAGGCCCACGGCAGCCCTGCATGCCCCAGCTTGCTCCCCTCCTCACCCACCCCTCTACTTCTCTCCTCTCCAGCCCTCTGTGGCTGCGTGCCTGCACTGCCCTTTATAGCATGCTGCACGGCTGCGCACCTTAGAGGGAACTTAGGGTGTTGCCCTTCTTCCTCCACCAGCCAATGATCTAACTGGTAAGAGGATCAGAAGAGCTACTGGAGACTAGCACTGGGTGAACCGTAGAAATAATTACTTTCAAGCATTCTGATGAATTAGAAGTGGAATTTTGATTCATGTTCAGATCCCTGTTTGCAGACACTGGTGCGGATAAAGTATTGTTCATGCAGTGTTTGTGGGAAATGAATTTTGGGCCCATAGCATAAATATTCAACAATATGCATGTTGTTGCTGTTCTATTTGCTGATGTGTCATATGCTTAGAAAGGTTTATATGAAACAGGTGTGCCTCCTTGTGGCTAGGACAGTGAATTAGCTCGTGCCCCATCTGGTGTCCCCTTTTGTTGGTTACTCTCACTGAGTCTGTGACCCTTCTCTCTCTCTGTGACATGGGGCGCGCTCTCTTTGTTACTTGCCCTCTGGTCAGGTCACTATATAGTTCCACCCCTCTCCTTCTGGGATAACAAAGGTCCCACCAGACAAGCTGTCCATATGCCATCTCAGGCAGTCTTCTGTTCCAAATCCAGATCCTGTACCACTTTGCATTGAGTTGCAGCCCAGGGACCCTATAACTAACAGCCAAGATCTACATAAGCCCACTCCTTGCTGCTGTTTCCCTGGGCTTCCTCCACTTAACTTCTCTTGGTTGACCCTTCCTTCAGACCTAGAATTCTCCCAGAGAGTGACTCCAGACTCCTTCCCTGCAGCCCTCTTTTGCTCTCAACTTCCTGGCTTTATACTAACCAGCCTACTACTGTCTTGCTGGGCTTCATGATCAGTGAAGCCTGCCTCTCCCTCCAGAGGTAGCCAGGTAACATAACTGGCCTCTCAGGCCCACATTAACCCCTTTACTCCCCATCACAGTTTCCAATAAAGAAAGGGAATTTTGTGGGACAAATAAGCCCATTTCTTTGCTCTGCTTTCCTTTCATTTTCTTATTCTTCATACTTTACATACTGATTGCAGTGGCATGGTGATGGGACAAGATTTAGTTTGGTTCTAGCTGCTCTTTTTGAAGGTTAATTTATTTGATTAGCAAACACCTTTTTCGAGTTCTACGCAAGTTTGATTTTCTTAGAGGTATTTTTATTGGACCCACAGGTACTAAGTGTGATGTCCTGTCCCTTTAAATGTTTAAGCACTACCCCCATCCCCAGCGTAAAGCCTCATTTTCCTGTTGTTTGCAGCCAGAAAGCTATGACCAAAGCAGAGAGCTTTGTTTCTATCAGCTTCCTCTATCTATCCATTTCCTTTTTTTTCTACTGATAGAAATACAATACTAAGTCTGGAGGTATTTCAGGCCCGTCTGGTCTCTTACTGCAAGCTCATGCATCCCTACCAACCAACTTTTTATAAGCAAAGCTATTGGGACAGTTGCAGTCCTATTAACTTCATTTTGTACAAATGTATAACACTCGTGCAACACATCACTCCGGCACTGGAACAACAGACTTTGCTTCTATGTTCAATCACAAGGAGCTCATTTTTCAATGAACGGAAACTGTGCAAAACTCTACAACAACCATAAGAACCATTGTGTTTTCATTCTCTCTCCTTGAAGACACGTGTGGCATTCTCTCCGCACAACTCAGACAATGAAATGAAATCTGTGTTAAAGACTCCTTTTTATAGTAGTGGACATCTTGGTAAATACTCATGATAGTATGTTCTTGTTTGATCTCCACTAGACGGCAACCCTATCTTGGTAGCAACATCTAATTTTGACTTCCACAGCTGACACTTCTCATGTTCCAATCTCCCAGTGGGAAGACTCCTTTATCATCTGAGCAATATAGTTACAGCCCCAAATTCACTCATCTGGGCCTGCTTTGTGGTAGCCCTGTTGCTTGGTTCTTGAAGAAGAGCAACAGCAGAAAGTGGGCTTCAGAAAAGGCAGTAGATCCCCTCCCAGCACCTAACACTGGCGTGAGCTGTATAGATTTGGGGAGGGATGGAATGGAGCAGTGCGGACTAGTTCCAAGAACTATTTTGACAGTGCAGAGTAGGATGGCTCGTAGCAGAGGGAGAGCATGTGCACAAATCATATTCCTAACAAACTGGGGACCTGACTAGACCCCTGTGGGATCATGGTGTACTAGCAGGACTCCCCTTCTGCTGCTCTCTTTAGTACTCTATCACG